GCCAAGTTACGCCCTTCTGAGAACGTGCGTGTCTGTGGTCGGCGCCTTTCCCATGGGTGCATTGCGTTTCCCTGGCTGACTGGCGTGCTTGTGCCCCTTCACAAAGGCGGCTTCATGGCTTCCGTTTTTATTTTGTCTTATCACTTATTACAGATGTATGTTTTTGTGTTCTTAATGGCATACCTCAGTGTGCACAAATTTTCAGTTTATTTTGCAAGTCCTGTGGTTTGAACTCAGGGCATTGTACTTACTTGGTTGGTGCTCCACCACTTGAGCCATGCCCCCAGCCCTGCTTTTTGCTTGTTATCTTGGAGACAAAAATCTCATGAGCTTTCTGCTTGGCCCCAGCCTTGAAATGATCCTCTAGATCTTCAGACCTCTGAGTAGCTAGGATTGCAGGCGTAAGCCACCAGTGCCCAGCTGAGAAGTTTTTATTTTGATGAATTGTCTATTTGAACATTTTACAATTTTATGCCTTTTCTCTCTGTGCCTTGTGTGAGAAATGTTTGCTTGTCCCTGGTTGCTAGGATACACTCAGCTTTCTGGAAGCTTCCTGGCCTCCGCAGTTGCACGGGTCCTCAGGTGTCTCCTCCTCATTCCGAGTCTGACCCACCCCCCAGCGTTTCCAGCTGTAGGTGTTGAAAAGATTTTCCTTCCCATTTGTTCTAGCGTCTTTTCTCAAAAAAATAAAAATGTGTGGGGCTGTTCACAGCTCTCTCTCCTACCTCACTGCTACAATGTTGTTGCACCTTGTGTCAGAACCCTGTTGCTTTTCCTGAGCTTGTCCAGGCCAGCTGAAGTCCTTGCCCTGCTGTAGAAATTTTACACCTGAGAAGGAAATCCCGAGTTCTGGGCTTCAGTGCATTAACCCTATGGGTGAACTTCGCCAGAATCGCTCTCTCCAGTGTTGATTGTTAGGGTCTGTGGGCATCCTCTATTTGGGATGCATCATTTTCAACAGTGCTGGGATTTGAACTCAGGGCCTTGAGTTTGCCAGGCAGGAATCTGCCCCCGGTAAGGAGAACCCTGGGGCTTGTCCTTGAGCCTGGCCTGCATTTCCTTGGACCACAGGGTCAGAATTTCCTTTCTCCTGAGACTGAGTTATGTATTCCATGCCCATTGCTTCTCCCTCATGAGCTACTGTGAGTGTGTGTGTGTGTGTGTGTGTGTGTGTGTGTGAGAGAGAGAGAGAGAGAGCGCACACCCGTATGTCATGGGGCTTGAACTCAGGGCCTGGTTGCTGTCTCTAAGCTTTTGTGGTCGAAGATGGTGCTCTACCACTTGAGTCATGGCTCTACTTCTGGCTTTTTGCTGGTTAATTGGAGATCAGAGTCTTATGAATGAACTTTCATCCCTGGCCTGGTTTTAAATGTGATCCTCAGATCTCAGCCTCCTGAATAGCTGGAATTACAGGCGAGCCAGTGGTGCCTGGCAAGACCATTGCTGTGACAAGCATTTGGGGGCCTGCGTCCCTTGACCCTCGTGTCTGCCGGGGTAGAGCTGCTGCAGAGGTGGTGATTCCACGCTGAATGCTTTGAGAATTGTTTCCACAGCCCCTGGTGCTTGCTGGGTTCCGGTCTCTTCACGCCCTCGCTTCCTTCCTGTTTGTCATTCTGGTTTGAACTCGGGCTCCGGCTTGCTAGGCAGAGGCAGGTGCTAAACCTCCAGAGCCACAGACCTTGTTGCTTAGGTGTTTTCCAGGTAGGGTCTCATGCTTTTCCTGCACTGACTTGATTCTGTCGGTTCTCCTACATACCCCTACCACCCATACGGCTGGGATTATAGGCATGACTGTCCACGTCTGGCTTGTTTGTTGAGAGGGGTCTCACACACATTTTGCCTTGGAGGCTTTGCCTCCAGACCACCTCCCATGTGGAGATGGACACCTCAGCCACAGGTGGGCGTTGGAGGCTTCCAGAACACATGGCGGCTGGCCGCTGGGAAGCAATCTGCTAGGTGCTTGCTTAGCCCAGCTGGCCAGTGCTGCCAAATGCCATGGTCTTTGATTGAAAGTTCTAGAAGGAAGGACAGATATGTTCCCAGTGTCTTTCATCCAGCCCCCAGGGGGCTGGTGGGGGCTGCGTGGTCAGGGACCCCTGGGCCCCATGTCCGGGTCCTCTGGCGACGGCGCCTGGGCAGGGCCTCCCGAACACCGCCCGCACCCCCATGGTTGCCTGGGAGCAATGGTCATCACAGATCCAAGCAAGCGTCTTATTCTGAAAGCCTCTTCATTTGAGAATGCCGCTTTTGGGTTTGTTTCATAATATAAATACACGCTGACACGCATTTCCTCACTGCTAAGGTTAACCCTTGCACGGCTCACGCCCCGCACACAGAGCGGGAGCACGCGGTCGCTGCGGTCCCTGCGGTCCCTGCTGGCTGCCGGCCCTTTGCCCACCGCACCCGACCACAGCCTCCCTGTGGCGACTTCCCGGCTCCTTTCCCAGAGCCAGGGCGCGCGATCAGGTCAGGCCCACCCCAAGTCTCCCTTTGATGAGTGCAGAGGGCCCCTGCAAACCCCCGCGTGCCCCACCCCGGGGCCGCCACGCAGGAAGGAGAGGAATGGGCCACAGCTGAGCCACGACCCGAGTCGGTGATGTTGGGGTGGGCAGCGCCCGGGCACGAGGATGGAGTCACCTGGGAGGAAGGTCAGCAGACGGAGGCGCGGCCGGTCTTAGGAGCCATCGTGGACTGGACATTGCTCACCGAGGATGGGGGGGGGGGGGGGGAGCTTGAGGAAAGAACTGGACGCCAGCGGCTCCCGCCTGGCATCCTAGCTAGGAGGCTGAGATCCAGGATCATGGTTCAAAGCCAGCCCTGACAGGAAAAGTCCCTGAGACTCATCTGCAGTGAAGCACCAGAAAACCGGAAATGGCGCTGTGGCTCAAGTGGCAGAGCGCTCGCCTCCAGCCGAAGAGCTCAGGGACAGCGCCCCGGCCCTGAGTTCAAGACCCACAACCAACAAAACAAAAGCAAAAACTGGGTTTCCTGTTGGGAGGCAGCAGCAGGGGCAGAGCTGGACACGGGGTGCAGTGGCTGCTGGGAGCCGGCGGCCTGGGGCCATGTGGGGCCCCTGCAGGCGTGCTGGTGAGGGCAGCGCAGGGGTGGGGTACCATTGTGGAGGACAGCGCCACAGCCCGCGTGAGCTGCCCCCCATGTTAACACCGGCCAGAGCGGCTGTGCTCCCGCCGAAGCCTGCCCTGCTGTGAGTGGGCCTCCACGCGGCTGCCTCAGTTTCTCCCGGGCTGTTGTACATCAGTGTGCAGTGCGGCTCGTTGGCTGAGCTGGGGTCCTGCGGCTGGGGAGCAGAGTCCAATGGGCTCCAGCAGAGGTCAGCGAGACCACAGCCAGAAGCCACGCCCCTTGACCTTGCTGGGACAGGCGCCCCCTGGTGCCTGCTGGGTCACACCGTGAGACCCAAGGCTGTGGGGCCCCTCACCACTCCCAGGAGTTTGATCAGGCAGAGGCTCGGGTAGAGGCTGGCGCGGTGACTCCAGCCTGTACTGGGGGCGGGGGGTGGGTAGAAAGGGGGGACGGCTCTCTGCCTGGCTTGTGAGCGAGCGTGGCCTCCGTGGGGCCGGAGGCGTGTCCTTGGATGCTGAGTGGACAGGATGGAACGTGGCGGGGTGGAGAGGAGGGAATTGGGGCCCTCGGGTGCCGCAGGGCACTGGACGTGGCCAGCCTGAGCTGTCAGACCTGCCTGTGGCCTGGCTGGGCGGGAGAGGCAGCGTCTAGACTTGACATGTTGAGCCAGGCACAGGGGCTCAGCCGTCATCTTAGCTACTTCGGAGGCTGAGAATGGGAAGATCCTGATTTGAGGCCGCCTGGGCAGACAGCTTCTCCAGACTCCATCTGAACCCACAGCAGTGGCGCACACGCCTTCATCCTCACAGTGCGGGAAGTCTGGACGGTCAGGTCAGGGGAGGGACAGCCGCTCAGCCTCAGCGTCGGAAGCACTGACGTCACGATCTGACGCGTGCGGGTAGGGTGAGGATGTGTCGCCGTCTCCATCTTTTCTTCTTGATGGGGTTATGGGAAGTTGGAGCGCTTTAGGGTTGTGGGTGGCTGGTGGGGCCCCGGGGTGGAGGTGTGGGACAAGAGGGCATCTGAGGGGCACGGATGGGGTCAGTCGTGGAGGCTGGGCAGGCTCGAGGTGCCCTGGGGACATTTCCCGCTGGGCGGGGGACAGCTGGGCTGGCAGGGAGGAGGTGGCCAGTCTTGGGGTGTCATGGCAGAGGGTGAGGCTGGGATGCCCTGCCACCCACAGACGAGGAGGGCAGGGCGCCGGCCCCACAGCCAGCCCGTGCGGAGGGCGGGGCAGAGGCCCCACAGCCAGCCCGTGCGGAGGGCGGGGCAGAGGCCCCAGGGCGGGCGGGCGGGCGCTGGCCGCTGGTCTCCCATCCTGTGGATTTCCCACCGCAGTCCGACTGGGTGGTTGGGTTAAAAAGAAGGAAAGTCTTGAGGTTTGAACTCGGGGCCTTGTACTTTGAGTCATGTGGCCAGCTCCAGCCTTTGTTTGTTTTTCAGATAGGTGTTGAGTGTGTTTCTTTTTGCTAGGCCAGCCTAGATCACAGTCGGCCTAGATACATCTCCTGTGGAGGTGACCACCACACCTGACATACTGGTTAAGATGAGGTCTCACTTTTTTGTCTGGGCTGGCCTTGAGCCTGACGTATCTCTGCCTCCAGAGTTGCTGGGATTTCAGAAGTCAGCTACCACACCCGACCTTTCTTAACTCCATGAGTACAGACCTGGCATGAGGTTTATTTGGTTTTGTTTTATTCCCTGTAGGGAATTTTGATTCCACACTTCCAAACTAGGCAAATCTGCCTGATAAATATAGCTACAAATGGGGCTTTGTCCCATTTCATTCACACAAATTGCTATTAGTCGCACTAAATCCTACCACCCTGGGTATCATGGGAAATAATGAGTGAACCTTCTGGAAGCTTGCCATACCTGGAAAGAACTGAGACAAAGAAACAGACCACGCAGGCCAGTGCTGTATAAAACGTGGTGTTTATGTCCTCGCTGGGAAGAGGTTAGTCTCAGCCAGACTGTAACAAAATCCCCGCAGCTTATTCCAAAAGAAAGCTTTAATACAAGAGAGTTTAGAAAATTAAATGTATTTGTTAAAAATTCTAGTGTGTAAACCTTAACACGGGGCAGCTGGGTGCCAAGCACCCCGTGGGCGGCAGGCCCGGCGGCCTAGTGCTGCGCGCCTGCTCCCCACACCCCTCAGCCTTTGTGGGGTCACTTAGAGATGCCAAAGGCTAGGGAGCCCCATTCTTGTGGGGACCCCACGCTCCAGGACTTAGCAACTCTGGTGGCAACTGTGAGGGGACGGGCGGCCCCAGTGGAGGGGGGCGGGCCATGGGGGGTACAAGCAGGACAGGGAGACACAGGACCAGCCAATCAGACCTGGCATCAGAACTTGGTGGTTCCAGACCCTTCTACCAGTGGTGCCACTCAATCTTTTCTAGTGTGCTTCTACTTCTCACAAAGCCTCTGGGTACCTGGGAGCCCGCTGGAGTCGGGGGGAGGGAGAGGGCCGAGGGCTGCCGCAGACAGCGGCCTGACGGGGGCGCTGGGCCAGGGTGGAGCAGGGTCCGGTTGCCTCGGGCCGGAGCCGCCACCGAGGCCAGTGGTAAGGAAGCAGGGACGTGGACTTCTTGGCACGGAACTGGAAGATCAGATACACAGCGCTGGAGCTGTGCGGAACCGGAGCGGCGCCCACCCAGCACCCAGCTGCTTCCCTGGGGCTGGCGGGGGGCCGGGAGGGCGGGGGGAGGTGTGGAGGCCTTGTTCAGGGGTGGCGCCCGCTCCCCTCTGCCTCCAGCGGCAGGGCAGGAGCAGGTCTGGCCCTGGGCCGCTGTGACTGGGGGACAGTGCCAGGTGCCGGGTGGGGGATGAGGTGGCAGAGCTGGCCCCGCGGCCAGGCGCAGGTAGAAGCGAGCAGCTGCACGGGGGCCGCCCGCACAGCGGGTCTGTGCCTGCTGTGGGCTCGGAAGGGTTTGGGGACCCACGTGCACGGGCCTGGGAGGGGTGGGGAGGGCGGGGCAGCCAGGTGACCCCAAGGAGACGTCAGGAGCTCTGGGCACTCACGGCTGGCCTGGGTCTTGGCTGTGGCTGTGCATGCTCGTGTCAGTGAGGGTTCGGCGGAGGAGGCAGCCATGGCCCTCTGCGGGGAGCACGGCCAGGGCCGGCGCAGACACCGCACCACCATGGTCCAGATGGCTGCACGGCCACCAGTGCCCGCGGGGAGGTCACCGGCTGGCGGGGAGCAGCCATGGCTGTCAGGAGGGCTGTGGTGGTTCTCTGAGGGGGTTCTCTGTTCCCCAACAAGTCTCTAGTCAGTTCTTATTCTCTGGTCCCCAAAGCAGCTGTACCCCAACTGTTGCGCAGTCCTTTTAACAAACTCCTATCTGCTGGGCTCCTGGCGGGGCCCGCGGGGTTGGGGACCCGTGCAGCTCGGGCTGTGTCGCAGGCAGCCTGTCCTGGGGGAGGGGTGTGGACCATGGCTGCCACGCGGATCCTCGTCCCGCCCTGAGCAGGGGGCAAGGCTCGGGGGACACAGGGTGGACAGGACCAATCGAGTCTTGAGGGGCCATCGTGATCGCCACAGGAGCTAGAACCTTCCACAGAGGTCCCCACAGTGCCGACCCTGGGGCATCCTGAAGCCAGCCGGGACGAGGCACGGCTCTCCGGGACCAGCTGAGCAGCGCCGCCGGCTCCGGCAGGGGACGGGGAGGAGCGTGGAGAGGAACCACCGGCCGCGGTGCAGCCCCGCCTCCACGTGAGAACAAGCGCAGAGGCCCGTGGCCACGCTGGCTCCCCTGGGAGTCCCCCTGTGCCAGGAAACCCCGGGGTTGTTCATCTCGCCCACAGACTTCGAGTCCAGCCCAGTGCCCACCCGCTGGAGAGCAGGGCCCCGTGCCCCGTGTGCAAGGACGGGCCTGGCAGCCGAGGGATGGTTTAATCAGTGGCACGTGGCGGCGGGGGAGGTGTGCTTGCGGTGCCAAGGCACTGGGCCACGGCCACAGCGCGTGGGATGCAGTGGCCAGGTCTGGATTCCTTGAGGTCAGAGGTCGCCGCTCTGGGGCTCCACATTGCGCAGCTCCCGGGGGGGCCCTCGGGACAGCCGGGAGAAGCGGGAGGCCGCTTTGGGGCGGCTGCTCTTGCTCAGCGGCTCTCCGGGAGGGGCGACGTCCCTGCAAGACAGCGAGAGATGTGGGTGAGGCGGGCGCTCAGCCTTCCCAGACACAGGCAGATGTCTGAGCTGGCTTGGGGGCCATAGGCCAGGGCCCTGATTTAAGGCGTTGAAGGCCTTGGGTCTAGACTCAAGTAGGTCACCCACTTAATGGGCCCAAGGCCCCGAGTTCAAGCCCCAACACAACCAAACCAAGAGCATACTGACGGGTGGCACTGGGGCTTGAACTCAGGGCCTCACTTGCTAGAAGGGCGCTCTACCGCTGCACCAGGCCTCCAGCCACAACCGTGGCCTCAGGTCTGTTTCTCCTTGATGCAGAGTCACACATGCCCGGGCTTCTCGCGACATCTGTCCTGGGGTTGCCGCCGCTGGTGGCCAGGACAGTCCCCGTCCTGGTGGCTGGGGGTGAGGGATGGGGGCCACGTCTACCCCACGGGGCCTGCTCCGCTGACCTGCACGCTTGCTCCGGGAAACCCCGCAGTGCGCAGGGCAGGCTCTCCTCGGTACTGCAGAGGAGGAGCCGGAGTCGCTACGGGGCTTAGCGGCAGAGGGCAGGATGACCAGCCTGACCAGGACAAGCAGCCAAGCGTCAGAGGCTGTCCAGGAGGCCTGGGGGCAGCGGAGCCGATAGTAGAGTGTTTAGCCCAGCGCCTGGCGAGGGGCACACTTGCAGCGCCGGCAGCAGGAGGCTGAGGCAGGAGGAGGACTCTCCCAGCCCCAGGGGGAGGAGTTAGAGCCAAAGCACGAGGTCTGCCTCGATGGCGCCCCGAAGTTTCTTTTCAATTCAGTGGAACAGTGCGGCGCTTCCCAGGCCGTTCTGCGAAGATCACTCCGCTAGAAAAAGATCCTTCTAGAACCCAGCCCCAGCTTCCTTAGAAAGGAGATGGTGAGACACCCCTTTCCCCTCCAGACACTTGAGCTTCTGGAGTAGGGCAGCAAAGGGCAGCGCATGAATCGCGCGTCTGCACAGCCCCGCCGGTGATGGCGCGGGCGACGGCGGCGGCTGCCGTGCGGCCGCTGTGCTGTGCGTGCACGCGGCACTCGCTCACTGCGGATGCTAAAGATGGGGCCTTCCTCTCCAAGACTGAAAGCGGGGGGGGGGTGGCACCTTGGCACAGACTGGCACCCTTACAGCGCTGTGAGCCTCCTCCGCTCTGGGAGGGGCGAGGAGAAGGGGGAACTGGGGCGCCCGGCCCCCGTGCGGAGCCACTGGGGAGACCCAGTGCCCTGGCAGCGCAGGGCGAGGGCGCCGGTTCCCGCGGACAGAGCCGCCTGCCTGCTGCTCGCGCCAGCACCTGCAGTGGCTCCCGAGGACAAGGCCGGAAGCAGCCCCAGAGCCCGTGTCCCTGATCCACCAATGGGTGCAGAAACAAAGGAATCTGTGCGCCTGAGGCCCAGGCACCCACGCCAGTTCCACGCAGAGCAGAGGACACCGGACACCTGAGACCAGCCGCGAGAACTGAGTCGCCCACAGAAAACTGAAAAAGGCCCGCGGCCGGCCTGTTACACAGCACAGGGAGTCCCTGCCAGCAGCTGAGCCCGCGCCCAGTGCGACATGGACAGCCTGGCTCTCCGTCCTCCCCTGCTTGCCACAGTCCTGCCACTCCCCTGTGGATGACCCACAGATGACTGTACGCGTTTGTCTGGTGACAGGGTGTCCGCCCCTCTGGCACCCGCCTCGTCACTCCCCCTGGGGACAGCTCATCTGCTGGCCTTGGACAGGGCCTGCGACGGCTTCTGTCTCTCCATGCCTGGGTGGGGCAGCGGTCGGGGCGTGGACCCCGCCCCGGAAGGGAGCCTGGCCAGGGCCACCATGCCAAGCGTCCCATCCAGCACCACAGCCCTGTCCACTGCATGGCACTGAGCCGGGGAGAGCCAGCCAGGCCAGCGCCACTCCAGCTGCGGCCGCCCTACCCATCGCTGAAGGACGCGGGAAACCCAGAGCCCCGGCACCGGCCCACCCGCGGCGGGAGCGGCGGGCTGCGGGGCAGCAGCGTGTCGGGGGCAGCGGCGCCGCTTCCTAGGGCTTTATTGGTGTTTTTATGGTGTGTGTTGTTTTTTAAACTAACCTCAAATGGTGCAGGCTATTGTGCTCAAAATAACCTCATGTTTCCCTGTCTCCAAACTGGATGTTCAGATGCTCCCGCGTTTAAAAATACAAGCCAGGAAGTAGGGCAAGCTGCCGGGGCCGGGCGCGGCTGGAACAGCGAAACGGGGCTGTGGCCAGCGCAGGTGCCCGTGACCTCGCCAGGCCACTGCTGCCACCACCCCCATTGCACGGCTGGGCCACGGAGGCCAGGAGAGGTCTGCATCCCCGGGCCACGGACTCACTACGAAAAGAGGAGACCGGGCCCCTTGCTGCTGGCTCTGGACCCAGCGAGGCTGGCCCAGGGCGCCGGACACGTGTGACAAGATCAAGGTGGCCTGCCTGCCTGCCTTCCGGGGGTGGCCACGCCAGGAGCCACGAGGATGCGGTGTGTCCCGTGGACACGTGCTGCGGGCGCCTCTCCTGCCGTCTGCAGCACCGCCCGCGTCCGCAGCCCCTACGGTGAGCAAATGCACGAAGCCCGTCAAGCGCGCCAGGCATCTGAGGACAGGAAGGGGCTGTGGGAGCTGCGGAGGGGGCAGCAGCCTCCGTCCTCCCAGCCCATTTCCCAGTGCTCGCTGCCTCTGGCCTGGGGAGTGACCCAGCAGGGGGGGTGAGGACCCCCACAGCCACTCACCGCCCCTGACAGCTCCGGCCGGGAGGGGCCGCTGTGTAGACAGTGCGGGGCTGGCAGCCCGCACTCCGCTGAAAATGCAGAGCTGGGCAATGGCGGCGAGGAGCCTGGCGCCACCTCCAGGACGAGGAGGACCAACCTCCGAGGGTGACGGGACAGGGACAGAGGTGAACAACACGGGGGGCTGGTCAGGGTAAGTGGACCACGCAGCCCCGGCCGACAGCTGCAGGACGCCGGGCTGGGGAGGCGCTGCCGGCGCGGGGCGCGTCAGCGCGCAGAAGCGGCCGGGATGACACTGGTGGCGTGCTCCTGCCGAAGCAGTGACAGATGCCACCTGCTGCACGGCGACAGCTGCTGGGGAGGCTGCACCTCACCTGCCCCCTCCACCCATGACACGATTCCCCGTGTCTCCAGCTCCGCCCTCCGCTCCCTCTGGGCAGGGCGCCTTCCCCACACGTGATCTGCACACATCTGCGCGGGCGCAGGGAGCAAGCGTCCTGAAGGACAGGCCTCGGGATTCCCGGGCTGCTCGGGGACTGCCAGCTTGCTTCGCTCGCTATTCTAGAAACCCCAGAGCACTGTGTCACAGGAAACGTGAGGCTCGGGGGATGTGGAGCAGCGCAGCCCGGTGCGAAGGTCCTCGCCGCACTGCCGGACGGACAGCAGCGCTCATCGCGTTCTCCGGGGGCCATGGACCCCACGCTCCTCCTGACCCCTGCCCTCCACCCGCACTTCCTGCTGCGTCCTGCACCAGGGACCTGGACCGCTGCCCCTTAGCTCACTCCTTCTGGAACCAAGATCTCACCGTAGCCAAGCTGGCTTTCATTCTTGACCTTCCTGCATCATCCTCTTAAGTGCTGGGGCCACAGGCATGCACCACTATTCCTAGCGCTTTCTAACTGCTGTGAAATTAAAATGTTCCCCCACTTTCTTGAGTGCTTTTTCTTGAGAGAACTGTAAGCTTTGAAAGAGACAAGCAGACCACAAAGTTCCTGTCCCCACCAGCCCCGAGGCCATGTGCGCCTCCCTCCCACCCCGGCACCGGGTCCAGAGAAGGTTCCCGTGTCTCATCCTAACCTCCCCGATCCGTGTCCTGTCCCTCCACCCTCGGACACAGCCCAGCGCCTCGGCTGGTCTTCATTACCCCCACGGGCTGCCCATTCCCGTCCCCAGGTGGTGACACTGGGGCTGGGGTGCTGCACAGTGTCTCGGGGGTCCATCCAGACACTTCCATGTCAGTGGCCCTCTAAGAGTGAGTTTGTGCTGGGCCCACCACCCACTGGAGAAACCCCTGGCTGAACGGGAAATTGAGCTTTCCTTTGATCTACTAAAGGAGCCGGGTCTGGTGGTGCATGCCTATAATCCCAGGCCTCCTACCTGAGGTCTAGGACTGAAGCTGGCTGGGACTCCACAGTCTCAAACGTCAAAGAGACAAAATCCAGAGAGATGTCAGGGCTTGGGCCCAGGGCTGATGGCAGCCTGCAGCCGCAGGCGCCTGGCATGCACAGCGCTGCGGGGGGCGCTGAGGGCCTCGCGGGGCTCCCACACCGCGGTACTCACACGAAGAAGGGCATCAGCTGCACGAGCGTCTCTTTCTTGGGGCTGGCGGCAAACTCGGGCACCATCTGGATGACCTTGTTCATGACACTGCGCAGGTAACTCTGCAGCTGCTTCCGCCGCTCCTCCACGAACTTGGCGTCCTGAGAGCACAGAGACAAGCATGCGCTGGGTTTGTCTCCCTCGCCTGCTCAGGAGCCACCCCCCCCCCGACCTTGAACGTGTGTGTGTGTGTGTGTGTGTGTGTCCCGACCATGTGGGCTTATCTCACTCAGCTCCACCCAGAGCCCATAACCCACGCGCTGCTCCCCAGCCGCCCCCACGCCCCCCCTGCATTCCAGGTCTGCTCACAGGACTGTCTCTATGGAGGGCGCACGCGCGCAGCCCTGCGGGTCTCCCGCTGGGGCACACAATGCCTGGGGCACGTGCTAGGGACCCGCAGCGGGCACAGGGGCCACTTCTGAGGCTCTCGTGGGCTTCACAGGCCAGGACCGGGACAGGTGCACAGGCCTGGTGACCGCCTGGGTAAGACAGAATTCTCCATTCTGCCTGGACAGTGTTTTGAAATGCAAACCCATTTTCCTTGCTTCGCTTAAACGGCACACACAGCACACAGGCTCACAGGGCGGAGCGGGAGCTCCCCGCTGAGGCCCCTCGGGGCGGGGCTGGGAGAGACCCTGCGTGACTTTGGAGCAGCCGCAAGGAGCCCCAGCTGCTGGTGCCTCCACCTCCCCTCTGGTGCCTGGGGGAGACTTGCCAGAGGGGCCCAGGGCACAGGTAACTGTGCCAGCCCTGCGTGGACGCCCTCTGCTGTGCGTGTCTGCTGCTGCTGAGCTCCCACTTGACCTGACCCAGAAGAATGTTCCAGACACAGCACAGTGAGAGGTTAGAGGGGTGGGGCGGGGCTACGGAGCTCCAGGAAGGTGACCCCACCTCCAGCGGAGGCCAAAGGCTTCCCCCAAGTCTACCTCCCCCATCCCATCCCCAGTGACCTCTTGTTGCCCTGGCAACACAAGTTGGCGGTCGGGGCCTCGCCTGGAGGCATCCCATGTCCTTAACACGCACCCATTTCTCACAAGAGCCGGGCCCCGAAGCCCAGGCCTGGTCCTGGTCCAGGAGAATCCTACAGGCAAGCCAGCCGCCGGTGGCCCACGCCTGAAACCCTAGCTGCTCAGGCTGAGAGCTGAGCGTCGCAGTTGGAAGCCGGCCTGGGTAGGAAAGTCCGTAAGATTACCTCTGAATAAACAGCCAGCCACTCAGGTCTCCAAGCAGCCAGACAGTTCCAGCTGCCCCCAAGACACCCGACAACCTGCAGCCTACACGACAGACCTCCAGGCTTCCTCTCAGCAGCAGAACAGCGGGGTTCAGGCCGCATGACTCCACATGGGCGCTAGCGGAAGCCATCTTCTATGGGACTGGCCGGAGGGACTGGCTGACCTCTGACCTTAGCCCCTAGACGGGACCCTTCCAACACGGAGGCTCCGGGGCACGAAGACCGCCCATTCCTCTCTGTGACTGGATGTTTTTATTTTGTGGTGTAAGAACTTAAATACATCAAAAGACAGGGCATTCTAATGAGCCCCCCATCCTTTTCTAATAGTTCTAACCTTGCCTGCACTGGTTCATCATTCCGACCATTTTGTTAAGTTGTTTTAAAGTAAATTAGCACCAGCATGACATTTCATTCTTAAATACAACAGTGTGTATTTTTAAAAGATTAGGAACATTTTCTTATTTAACCGAATGCCATTATCACTGCTAACAAAATTTATGCTAATTCCCTGGTGCAACCTAGTAGCTAGTGCGTATTTGTAAATGCATTTTCAAGTGAGTTTCTGCTTCTGGATTTTTTTAAAGATGGGGCGTCTCTACATAGTCTATACTAGTCTTAAGCTGCCCATCTTCCTGCCTTGGAAATGCTGGATTACAGGAGCCACCACGCCTGTCCACTCTGGCATTTTCAGGGGTGTGGTACACCCCTCAAAGGAATGAGCAGGTCCATTCAACATGGCTCAGAACCGACTCCCCCCGGGGGTTGGAGGGTTCCAGACCGGTAAAGATGGATCCTCGTTTTCACAAGTCCTGTGGGGGTTCATGGACAAAACATGCCCCATGGCTATGTTGTGTACGGACGGAGCCGTGTGTCATATGATCAACCCCGGAGACCTCTGACAAACACCAGAATCCTGACTTCCCTTGAAAAATGAGCCTGAGCACCCAGACACACCCCCAGCTGAGGCCCCGCCCCTGCCCCAGACAGCTCCCCTTCCCTCCACCACCACCACCACCACGTGCCGGGGCTCTGCAGGCCGGGGCTACCCATGACTGCGTTACCCCTCTATGCTACGCACCAGGCGGCTGGCCCAGGGAGAACGTTCTTGTCCACGCCTGGTAACTGTGGGCCTCTGTCGGTGGTGCCTAGAGTTCCAAGCAGGATTCTGGGCTCCAGCAAATTCTGCCCAGAAACAGTTTCCAGGTCCCCAACAGCAGAGACAGGCAGGGCAGTCAATGTGCCCTGTCCCCTCCCCAGCCCTCCAGGGTGCACAGCCTGGGATCCCAGTGTCCGCCAGGCTGACAGGTGGCGCGCACACGCCGTCCTGTGCCAGTGTCACCAGGAACAGCGGTGCCCTCACAGCGCCTCGCATCGCTTCACACCGATGCCAGTCACACAGGGTCTAGCTTGGAGATGCTGAGGTATTGCTGACAGCAGTGGTGGCATCTTGTGGGACCCTTCTAATTGCCCCCACAGTCCTGTGAACTCCACACTGTGGGGGTTACAGGCAAGCAGCACTGCGGAGTGAGGACAGCACCAGCCAGGCACGCTGAGCGCCAAGAACTGCTCGCTGATACTTGTGCACACCTCCAACCCCACACACCGCATCCGCGAGGCTCCAAGAAGTGTGGGACCAGAACCAAGTCACAGCTGAGGCGCGGAAGAGGACCATCTTCCTTCACTCAGCCTCATGGCCCGGAGGCCGACCCAACACCACCGCAGGGGCGGGAGGAGGGCCCACTGGGCGGTGGAGAGGGCGACAGCTATGTGGGTGAAGGACTGGAATGCTGGACAGGCACCGTGGCGGGGGGCCAGCCCCGCATGCTCTGTCTTTGCTAGGCAGAGCCATTAGCTAAAAATCTCTCGGCTCTCACATCAGTCCACAGCTAATTCAAATGCCTGACTGCATGGCGCAGACCAAACAAAATTTACCATCAGGCCTTCTAGAAGCAACAGAAGAAAAGGTCATCACAACAGAGCCCTGAAGGTGGGCTCCGCCCTAGCCTCACAGCTCACGCAGCCAGCCAGCCTGGGCAGCCAGAGCCTGCTCCGAAGGCCAAGTGCAAATACGCAGACGCAGCGGGGGCAGGCAGGCGGGGCTGCCCAGCTGCCCTCCAGGGCGGGGCTGGGCATGTGCAGGTTCCTTGGACTCCTGGCATGACTGGAAGAGCTGCAGACAACACACACTATACCCACAGGAGCCACCCAGCGGAGCACCATCAATGGTCAGGGGCCAGTGGCGGGGAGCGCTACTTACAGTCCGGGATGCGAAGTAACTTGTCTTGTGTCCAGGCTAGAACTGGAATCTAGTGTGAGAAAAACCTTTTCTATCTAAGTAGTTTGCTTCCTTTCTGTTAATCTGGAGAATTTTCTGAAGAGTTCCAGCTTTGACCAGGTGGCCTGGCCCTTGTTCACCACATTTTGGTTGCATACATCCTTTTCCTGAGCACTTTAATCAGGACATCCTGTTAGAAGCTCCTTGACTTTTAATTGCATCATGTTCATTGAGCCACAGCCTTTTGCAGATTGTGAACCTGAGCTCAGCCAATGGGAGCAGAGGGGCGGGGCCTGCTGGGTTAAGGATAAAAGGGGAGCAGCCTGCCTGTTCTGTGCTTGCATGCCAGATTCTTGGCCAATGGCACCCCTTCTGCAAAAGTAAACTTTGCCTTGCTGAGTTCCCTTTGAGTTGGTGTCCGTATTCCTACGCGACACCCCAACATTCTGAGCTATTTCTAACACGGGGTCTACTCAACTGCCAGGTACAGTTGGTCTACCACTCCATGGGCCCTCTACATGCAGAGAAGTTTACAAAACATCCATTCGTTTCTAGAACCTTGGCTAGCCGCCACCACATGCTGGCTGCAGCCTGAGCTGGGACGATGGGAGAGGCTGAGGAAGAAGCCTGACCTTCCAGGACAGAGCTTAACCCAAGCCAAATGGACCTGGCGGAGCAGGGGGGCGAGGGGTTATGTTCAAGTTCTACCTGAGCGTGTCATCTACTCTGGACAGTCTCGGGCATGTCCCGGGGAAGGAAAGTAGAAATGAAGTCAGAATCCGGGAAGGACTGGCCCCTGGCTGCCATCGAGGCGTGCCCTGACTTCTTTATGTGTCCAATGAGACGAGAGCTGCCGCGCCCGTCCGTTCATCCACTGAGCAGAGCTGGGCGCGGGGCACCGGGGTGAGCGCGGCGGCAGGGGAGAGCTGGGCTCACCTCCATTTCCCTCTGCCACATGCCTGGAGCCACTGGAGCAGATCTAGACTCTGGCAGAGGGCCCAGCTCTGGCAGGAAGGGCGGGAGAGGCTCACGGCAGGGGCACAGTGGCCACGAAGGATGTTATTCCCCCTCTCTCTTTGCCTCAGTGCCCCTAACAGGTGCCACTTCTCCTCCCCTTGGCCTCTACTGTTCCATGGCTGGCTGAACAGGGACTGGTGATCTCCACAGCACAGGCCTGCCTCGCGGCCCGTGATCACACTGCAAGAGGTAAGATCTCTAACAAGGGCAGAAATGAGACAGAATGGAAGTCCGTCATCTCAGGCCAGCAGTGGGCTGGCCGGCCGGGCGCTCGCTCACCAGGACATCCGCCTTGCGTCCTCCGTCCCGCTGCAAAGCAGCATGGGGCTGTGAGTGGGTGAGCCTGGGGTGGTTCCCCGGAAGCAGAAGCATGGGGGCCTGACTCCCAGCACCTGCTCATGGTGCAGCCTCAAGCACGTGACTCCCAGGGGCCCCCCAGTCCCTGCCTGCCCAACCTTCTGTCAACACTACCCCGCGCTGACACAGGAACATGGGGGCATCCGTCAGGGCGAGGGCGCCGTCCAGTCACTGATGCAGACCCAAAGTCAGAGGGGAAATGGGGAGTAAGGAAGCTGGGT